TTTTTCTTCTCCCTCCCCCCTTTTCATTTTCTTTTGTTTAATATTTTATTCATAGAAAACGAAACCAAATGAACCTAGTATATTTGACGAGAAAGTAGGGTCTGAAAGGGTAGGATGCATGCAGAAAATTCCTCTAGACCTGTTTTCTAATCTCTTAAGAGTAGAATTAGAAAGTAGATACTTACTTTTGAAAGTGAACACTTGTTTTAGGACATGACAATATACATGTGGGAAATTGACCAAAATAGTCAATCTTCTCAACCAAATTCTTTAGCCATTTTTTCAATTGAATTCCTATTTTAACGGACTTAAGGCAAATGCTTTATACATTTGTGTAAACTCGATTTTCAGAGAAAAAAAAAATCTTTACTCAGATTTGCTCAAGGATCCAAAGAATCCCCCCCCCCACCTTAACGTGAAAATAGGCATTTGCGTAAACTTTGGCTAAAATGAGAATTTGGTTTCAAAAATGGTTAAAAAGTGAAGTTGGTTAGGAAGATTGACAATTTCGGTCAATTATTAGAACATTGAAGTTGCTAGGAGAAAAAAAAGTATGCTTTTTTTTCCTTTTCCTTTTTAAAGGCAAAAAGATAATAGTTATATTGTAGTAACCACTTTTTGAGCCTTTTATGCTGAAAGATTTCTAGAAAGCAACCCTGTTTCTTTGTGCATATCATACCAATGGGTTATTATCATCTGGAAAAAAGTTTCACTTTTTAACTATCTTCTAAGTTTTTCTATAAAATAGTTAAGAAACCGTAAGTCAATGTCCCTAGGCATTTTTCCTTGTAGTTTATGATATTTTTCCGACATATCTAGATGAAAAGTGGTCCCACTGTAAAAATAATTTACAATATTGATATTAATATAATTTATAATATATGTAACAGATAAAAACTATCTGAATTCCTATATGTAGTAGATTTATCTTGTCCAATGGGTAGAAGTAAGGTCTTTATACATCCTACCCCCATATCTTCTCTGTATGAGATATACTGAGTTCATTTGGTTTGGTAACACGTAGACAGAGTGTCAATGTTCCTTTCATTTGTTCTTTTTGGAAGTATATGATATTTATATGGGAAATTGACTGAAATAGCCGATCCCGACAAGAGGTTTCACTTTTTAGCCATTTTTGTACCTTACGAAATAAGGTACAAAAGTGGCTAAAAAGTGAAACCCCTTGATGGGATTGATCTTCCATTCAATATACAGCAAAATTCACACATACTCCTTGCTTTTGGTGAGGCTGCGACTCTTTTTGCCCTAAAAAAAATCCCTTTTCTTGATGTTGATCTCCAGAGACGGAGAGTTGTAACCGAAGCAAATGCAAAAAGCAAGAGTGAGAAATTCCCGCCTCCCCATCAGGATGCAGCCGTCGGGTACCCGTCGAATAATGGTGGCCCTGTATCTTTTTTCACAACCGATGACAATTCATTTGGCTCCTCAATTTTCGACTCAAATTCCTCAAGATCCGTAAAAGAACATGGGACCATCGGTGGGTCGTCAAGGAGACGAAAAACCAAGAAAGAACCACCATCCCGAGCGGGGCCGTCACGTAAGTTCATCCACACTTTCCTTCCGACCTCCATTAGTCTATCGATGGATTTAGGGTTTAGGGGCAAGGAACCGGTTTCTGATGTTTTTGGGAGCAAAAGGTAAATAATGATTATATGTAGCTTTTAAGTTATTAGAAGATGGGTGATGCTTTTGGCATTAGTTAAGTTCTTTCTTTTGGTAAAACCGTGCTGATTTCAAGATAACAGTCAGGAAAATATCTAGCTGCTACAAAAATATTCCAACTGCCAATCTACGAGGAGCCTCAAGGCCGACCTTTATTTGCCAGTTGAGCTGACCCTCAATGTTATCGGTTAATTTCAGTGTTTTTTGGTTGGGTTATTTTATTTGTTAGTTGTATAATCCACACAAAAAGGGAAAAACCAATGGACTCTTTTGTTCATAATTTGCAAATTGCAATCAATCCCACTTCTCTTGTACAGATTCTGAAATATTAAAATTTTAATTACTTTTTATCTGAATGTGTTTATCAGTTTGTTATTTGTTAGCTTTACAGAGTTTTAAGTCGTATGTATGTTATAATAACTTGTAACTTTGAATTTCAAAATAACTGTATCAATAAATCTTCCTTACTTAGACTTAGGGGTTGTTTGTTTGCCTCTTAATAGTTCCATTAAGAGGCAGTCTCTGAATCGTTTCTGAATGATTTTGTATCTTGGGTTTTTCTTAATCACCAAACAATTATATTTTATTTTGTATTATATTATAAGAGTCTCTTAATTATTCTGACTATTTAATCATTCTACACACCAAATCATTTAACAACTGCCAAACAACCGCTTACACGTACCCACATGATGTATCTTGATTCTGAAGCCAAAAACTTGAGTCTTGCTTTAAATTTATTTTTCTATGGTTTTGAAATGCAAATCATGTAAATGTATAAATTCATGTTTAAGAAAGTTGATTCATCTGATATTTGCGAAGAGAATCCTGATGGGATGACGTTTATTTTGAGAATTGAAACGTGTAGTTAAAATGAAGTTTTAGAGGTTGTACATATGGAATAATAAGTTATGAGCTTAGGAAATGAAGTAAAATGCTTATATGAGAGTATTCATCTATACTATATTATAAAACATTTGATAAAAACTATTCAAAATTACAATTCAATTCAAGATTACAAGTAATTTTGTATAATTACAACTTATTAAAACTTCATTTTTAAATTCATGTAACTAACTGCAGATAAATATAATCAGATACAAGATAAACATTCATTTTAAATATAGAAAATCTAAAATGTTATTAAGATAATCATTGAGTTCTAATAGAATGTATAATTATTATCTTTATAAAAATTTATATTATTAAACCAAAAATAAATTACTTTGTTATTAAATATAAATTAAATTATAATAAAAAATTGAATTAAAAAAGTTATAAAAAAACGAGAACTATTAAATTTATATTCATCCAAAAATAAAAACATTATTGTTTTCTTAAAATCACATAAAATCGTATTATATCGATAGAGACAAAGAATAAAAACTACACACTAAAGTCGAGATTTATCTCACTGCATTGCACGAGTACCCTTTTAGTATAATAAAATAAAATTTTATTTGATCTTTGAAAAAGTCCAGAAAAAAAACAACCGATTTTCTGATTTTGAACAATTAAATTTTTGGACAATATTTTTGAACGATGACCATCCAATACCTCATTCAATGACTATCTAATTATCATTCAACTACCATTCATTTAACAACTATATATAATCATTAGCATTACAATATTATCTTTTTACTTGATATTTATATGTGTTGTTTGTTAACAACTTAAGAAAATATGTATGTATCAAACTACAAGGGTGATGTCTGATTGGTTTGAGCTTGGCTCCAAATATCAAAAATACCAGGAGGTCTTATGTTCAAATTCAAAGAGGAATAAAAATCCCCTTGTGGCCATGGAGGTTCAAATGCGGGGACTCCGAGCTATCTGCAAAGCAAGTGGTCACACTAGGATTAATCGGCTCGCATAACGGGTTGAATATCCAGGTTAATAATATATATGTATATATATATATATATATATATGAATCGTTGGTTAAAATAGGGGATTAATTGGTACGGGAAGTGTGTACCTGAATGAAGCGCATGAATTCGTTTCATGTAGCTTATTAAAAGGTAAAGTGTGAGCCAAATCGCTTAGTCATCACAAGTGTGAGTGACATTAAGTGTTATTAACCTTTCTGATCAATGTTGGTGTTTTACTTATCTGATGTGTAAGCATAATTGTTTTTATCTAATTCCAACTCTTGAGACCGTGTCGAATTGCAGTCTGAATTTACTAATTGAATTTGCCGGTTTGGGCAACGGTTTTGAAATATCTGTCTTAAATTTGTGGTTAGTACATATACTAGAAGAGTACTCACGTAATGCAGCGAGGTACATCTTGATTTTAATGTTTCGTTTTATTATTTGTCTTCATCGATGTTATTATTACTGATAACCAATCGAACTTAAAACGAATGGTAAAAGTTATTGGTAACCCACAACTCAAGACTTATAAGAAGCTCACAAATCTCATTTTCTATCAATATGGGAGGGTTTGTCACAGTCTATTAATCAAATATATAAAATTGCCCTAAAAGACAGGGACGAATGCACTATTGTGCACTTGGTGGCAAGGGATATCAACCAGAAAACCGAAAAAAACTCTTGAAATCAATAAAAAAAACTAATAAAGTCCACTGAAATCAAACAAAAAACTAAAAAAATCAATCAAAATCAACCGAAAATCTAAAACATCCACGAGGAAATTCGGTTAAAAAGATATCAGACGACTTTGAGGGTCTTTGATCTACCATAAAAATGCACCTGGATCCGGTACCGTACTGGTATATTGAGTATTCAATTTAGGAGTAGTTTACCAAAATTTTTATTAAGTCTATGTATGGATAAATTTGTCTGTCTGGATAAATGAGTGTTGTTTACTTTTTTTATCTGAATCAACAGTCTGAATAACATAAATGACCGATTTACCCCCAATATTAATTATTTGAACATCAAAACAAAAATTCATAAAGAAGCCGGAGATGGGGTGTCTCATATGGGAATGAGGCGGTGCTTTAAATAAGGGGTAAGTGTGTCATTTTTGTGGCTGAATGAGGATAACACACAATTTCTATCTGTGTGATTAAGTTATGTTCTATGCGAATAAACCATAAGTAAACAACCCAAATGAGCAATGCGAATAACTCATATAAAATATAAGTAAATAGTCCCTTTACTTTTTTTTAAAAAGAAAATATATAAAATATAAGTAAAATGTGTAATTTGATTTAAGTCAACCGTTTTGCAGTTAACAAGGATAAAAACTGCAATTTCTCAAAAAGTCTCCATTAATGGAAGTTATTGGAAAAGAATCGGGAAGACTCACAACTGACGGAAGACGAGCAGTCTGCTTTGGTCGCTTCACCACTCTTTTGCGTTGTTCCAATGAACGTCGATTCCTTCTCCACCAGTCATCTCCTCTCTATCTTCTACTTTATATAGAATCTGATTGACCGGTAACCTTGTTTCTGTGTGTTAATTGCTTTTTTGTACGTACGAAGGAAGACGAAGTGTGCATTGTTTCTGGTTCATTTGTAATGGCGTCCATGACTGCTGCGGCGAAGGAACATGTGGCGGAGATACGGCGAACGAAGTTCTCTATCGGTGGAGAACCGAATCCGTTAACGGAGGATCTTCATCAGGCGGTTAAGAATCTGTCTGCCGAGCTGTACGCAAAAGACGTCCATTTCCTCATGGAACTAATACAGGTCTGATCTGAATATAGGCGTTTATCGTTGATTATCTAGTGATTTGTTTGATTTTGATTCACTCTCATAATTTGAAGTGAAATGTGGTGTTTCCAATCTCTGTTTTTACTACACATTTTTTATGTTTTAGAAGTTATTTTTTTTGTCCTGTAAATGTCTGGTCGATCGTTGATTTTTGGTACTTGATCGATTTCTGATGTTGTTAGACTTGATCGCTTCCTGCTTTTTGGTAGGATAACACATAATTTGTTATTGAATTTCAAGCATTATAAAGTTATTTCTAGTTTTTTGAAATACAAGTTCAGTTTAACATGTTAATTTTGAGATCTGCGACTGTGAGCTTGAGCTCGAGGATGTTGATTCACAATACTTCGTTGCTGGATTTGTTTTAAAAGTTTGTTTGAACGTTTTTTTTTTCACAGAATGCTGAGGATAACGAGTATCCGGATGGGGTTGATCCATCACTTGAATTTGTTATTACGTCCAAAGACATCACAAGTACCGGAGCTCCGGCGACGTTGTTAATTTTCAATAACGAGAAAGGGTTTTCTCGTAAGAACATCGATTCGATTTGTAGTGTTGGTCGATCTACCAAGAAAGGTCTTCGAAAACGTGGCTATATAGGCGAGAAAGGTACATGTGTTTTTCATTGCTGTATTGTTTATTTTTATCGATTTTCAAATTAAAGGTGCACGTTGATGGTTTCTTTGAAATAATCAATTTGAAATCTTTGTTTAAATTTGTTTTTTTATAACATTTGATTATGAGAATTAAATATTAAATATATTTTTTTAATTATTATTGGTATATTAGCCAGTTTTATGTTTTTATGTGATATTTAAGGTACTTTGTTTAAATCTTTTATTGTAAATAATAACTTTGAAATTAAAATCTAAAATTTAAGGGGTATTTGGGATTGCTTATTTAACTTATGTGATATTATATTGAAGTTTTGTAAAAAGTGTTTGTATTAGCTTATACCGGCACCAAAAAGTAATAAGCGGATAAGTTGTTTTTTAGTGTTTAACAAATTTTGTTTATATATGTAAAATGAATAAAAATGGTCTTTCATATTATTGATTCATGGGAGTGTTTGTGATTGCTTATTAATTTATTCGATTTTTTAATATGTAAATTTATTTTTCGTCGTTTATACTATTATATTTGACATAAATTTGTAAAAATAAGATTAATAATTTATATAAATTAGATTAGTAATTATCAACATTCATAAGTCAGGAAAAACTAACTTATCAAAAACTGCTTATTACTGGTTTGACACTGATGTAAGCAATTTTATTTTTCCCCGTTCAAACACTAGTATTTAGCTTTTCATCGGTGCCAAGTCAAAAAGCACCTAAATTAAGCAATCCCAAACACTAAGAAAAGATATCAATGTTTCAGAATTTATTTTATAACCCTATAATTTGTGAACTATAAAAGATTATGTTTGAAGTAATAATCTTGTTTTGGAACAAATTTGACTTGCAACTTTGCTAATTTTAACTTTTTATTTGATGACGTTGAAATCATGTTCCGGAGTAGATGAAATCATCAAATGTCAAAAATAGAAAATTTTAAAATTTGTTACACTAAATAAAAATTAAAGCAAATTTGTTGCAGCTATGACAGATTTGCCCTTTTTTCTACACTTTATTCTTCATGTTAACAAGTATATACTGTCATTTGTATTTCTAGGCGTAGTAAAATCATATGTTACTCTTGTTTGATGATCACCAATTTCGTATTATATGTAGATTCTTCTTGTTGCTAATTGTTTGTCAACGTTTTTCTTAGGTATTGGATTTAAAAGTGTATTTCTGATAACTGCTCAGCCATATATTGTCAGTAATGGCTACCAGATAAGGTTTAACGAGAGGCCATGCCAGCATTGCAATGTTGGTTATATTGTTCCTGAATGGGTCAACGGGGACCAACTTCTGGCTGCCATTGGAAGCTTATATGGGTCGGCTACTGCTCTACCAACGACAACTCTCGTGCTGCCATTAAAGGCGGAGAAGGTGATACCAGTTAAGGATCAGCTTTCAAGCGTACAACCTGAAGTGTTATTATTTCTTTCCAAGATAAAGCGCCTTTCAGTCAAGGAAGATAATGAGGATCCTAGCCTCAAAACTGTGAACGCAATATCTATCTCCAAAGAGATAAACTTTGTTACTTCGAAGAGCATGGATGCTGATTCCTACACTCTTTATCTTACTGCTGAAGATATTAGTGATGAAGTTGACGGAGAATGTGGCTACCATATGTGGAAACAAAGATTTCCTGTGAAGGAGGAGTATAAAGTTGATGTTAGAATGGAAGTAGAGGAGTGGGTTATCACACTGGCTTTTCCAATTGGGAGAAGACTCAGAAGAGGGTCAAGCTTACCGGGTATCTATTCATTTTTACCCACAGAAACTGTTACGAACTTCCCTTTCGTTATACAATCTGATTTTCTTTTGGCATCATCAAGAGAAAATATCCTCTGGGATAACAAACGGAACAAGGGAATTCTCGATTGTGTTCCCATTGCCTTTTTAAATGCGTTCACGCAACTGGTGAAGTCCACCGAAGATCCTCCTGTTTCCAGTCTCCCCAATATGTTTTGGTTTTTACCCATCAGTGAATCGTCTCATCCAGAACTTAACCTTGTCCGGGATGCAATTAAAATCAAAGTAATGAATGATACCATCGTTCCTTGTGAGTCGTACACTGGTCAAAAGTTGTTCCGTAAGCCCAACGAAGTTGGTAGGCTGAAGCATTCTTTTTGGAGCATATTGAACAAAGCCCGTCAACAAGGCGTGAAAATCAGTGATATTTCATCCCATGGATCTTATATTCTTGCCTCTTCTTTTGATAAAGCGGAGTACGACGCTGTTCTAGACTTTCTTGAAATCCAATCTGTGGATAATGAATGGTATGCAAAATGCATATCTGGTTCCAACCTTGTTATGGGCGTGTCCGAGGATCTTTACATACAGCTTCTGGTATTCATTGCTGAAGGTTGGGGGTCCTCGTTTCGTAACACGAACATCGAAAACATACCAATCATAAAGTATGTTGGTATGGATGGGAAACGAGATTTCTTCAAAATCAATCAAGTTTTACAGAGAGCTGGAATCAAGTTGCTTGCTGCGGATTCTGCTCCCATCGCCTCGTGGCTGATTAATTGGAATACTGAATTTCGTTGTTCGGAGGGCCAGTTTTTTTTGCCCAGAGCCATGCAAGATGCCATCGGACGGTGTTTGATGAATGATACGTTAAAGAAATGGCTAAAAGAAGATGTTAAAGTTAAATTCATTAGTGTTCGTGATTATGCCGAGGGTCTTGGTCCTCTCAATTATGACCGAAAGCTGGCTGTTACCTATGCCCATTTTCTTTATAGCTCGCTGGAAAAGGAGTATCTGATGAAGCATGAGGTTCAGAATCTGTGTGTTAACATGCCGATCGTTGATAACTACGGGGTAGTAAATGTAACAAGAAGTGGGGTTTTAGAACCTTCCAATGGAAGCAATTGGATTAAACTTTTCGGTAATAATCCTTGGAGACAAGATGGTTATGTTGAGCTTGGATTAGATTATACCCAACAGAAGAGTYATGTTGGTATTTCTACATCTGGCATTGAACTACTTTCATTTCTTAGAGAGTATGTAAAAGCCTCTGATCTCCCTTATTTACCTCCCCCTAATGTTCCCATTCCTACTTTGTCTTCCCACTTGGGGAAAGACAACACTTTTCTCCTTCTAAACTGGCTTCAGCATTTAAGGACAAAAGGGTCTAGTTTGCCGGAAAGGTTTATGTCATCCATTAAAAATGGATGCTGGTTGAAGATCTCTTTGAGCCGCAGTTCTGGCCACAGGCCTCCTTCAGAATCTTTCATGCTAGACTCGAAAATCGGTCGACTTCTACAGAATGGATCGGTGTTRGTTGATATCCCGTTGCTAGATGAGAGTTTTTACGGAGACGAGATAAAAAACTACAAAGAGGAGTTACGAATAATCGGTGTTCGGTTTCATGATAAAGATGCTTGTGAGTTCATTGGTAAGCGGCTCATGACACTTACAGCTTCTTCAAAGCTTACTAGAGACAATGTCCTTTCAATGCTGAAGTTTATTCGGTATCTGGGAGMAAATTATCTCTCTCCAGAAAACCTCATCAATAGCATCAAAGGAGAAAAATGGCTTAGAACATCTAAAGGTGATATGTCTCCATCCAACTCTGTATTGTCGTCTCAAGAATGGACTGCTGCTTCACAAATAAGTGATATTCCATTCATTGATCAAGATTACTATGGCGAAGAAATACTTTCTTTCGAGAAAGAACTAAAAATGTTGGGTGTTTTGGTGGAAGTCAATCAGAGTTACCAGTTTGTTATAGACAACCTCAAGTCTTCATCTACGTTGTCTTGTTTGTCATCTGAATCTGTCTTCTTGATTTTAAGATGCATTCAAAATATAGAATCATCCGATAAGCTGGTGGAATCGCTCAGGAATCAGAAATGCTTGAAGACCAACTTGGGCTACAGATGCCCATCTGAATGTTTTTTGTTGAATCCAGATTCTGATTGGGGTTGTCTTCTTCAAGTCTTTGGATCATTCCCGGTTCTTGATCAACGTTTCTATGGGAGTTCAATCTTTTCAATGGCTAACGAGCTAAAGAAACTTGGTGTTATGGTGAATTTTGAGGATGCCAGCAAAGCATTCATTCGCACTTTCAAGCAGCATGTTTTGTCTTCCTCAATCAGTAAGGAAAACGTTCTTTCGTTTCTGTCGGCTTACAGAAAGCTGCAGGCATTGAAAGTCAAATTTTCTTCAGAACTCAGGGATTGCATATACAAAGAGAAATGGTTGAGAACGAGGCTCGGTGACTACAGAACACCAAACGAGTGCATTCTTTTTGGTACAGACTGGGAACGAATTTCTCCAATATCGCTTCTTCCGTTCATTGATGATATTTTTTATGGCAAGGAGATTCATGATTTTCGGACAGAGTTAAAGCGGTTGCACGTGATTACTGATTTCAAAGATGGTGCCAAGAATGTTGTTGATGGGCTCTTCTTACCTCATGATTCCAGTAACATTACTTCTGTTAATGTCTACGCATTGCTTGATTCCGTTAAGAAACTGAAAGAGATCAAAGCCAAAATACCTGATGCATTTTTGAATAAAGTTTCACAGAAGAATTGGTTAAGAACTCATTTTGGCTACAAATGTCCGAACGAGTGCTTGCTTTTCAAACCTAAATGGGATCAGTACTTGAAGCCGAATGTTGGTCCTTTCATCGATGAAGCTTTCTATGGACCAGCGATCAGTTCTTATTCAGAAGAGCTCGAAGTGGTAGGAGTTGTAACCGATATCAACATGGGATGCAAGTTGATCAGCGGTTATCTTGACTGTCATTCCAATTTTGAAGTTGTTTGTCAAATCTACCGTTACTTGTCTGAATTTAACTGGCAGCCTGTTGATGAAGATAGCCGAAAGATTTGGATTCCACAAGGAACTGATAAGGGAGAATGGTCATCGCCGAAAAATTGTGTTCTTCACGATACAAAGAATCTGTTTGTCGATCAGTTGTATGTTTTGGAGAAKTTTGAGTATCCGAAGAACATTCTGAACTTCTTTGCTAGAGTTTTCGATGTGAAAGTCCATCCGTCAGTTGACGATTACTGCAAGCTGTGGAATACGTGGGAAAGTTCAAAACGACAAATAACTCACGAAGAATGCTGTGCTTTTTGGGAGTTTGTGGTTGGAAATTGGAACTCGAAAACTGAAGATACGTTCAATAAGAGCTTATCGAAGCTCCCTGTTTTAGATCCTACTTCTGGTCTAATTATTCTCTCCGACAAGTGCGATGTATTCATTGGCGACGATCTTTTCTTGATGGATCTCTTTCGTAGGTCTTCTCGTCCCATTTTCGTATGGTATCCTGAGCCATTCCCGAAATCATTAACCCGAACTAAGCTTGTTGATATCTACAGAAAAGTTGGTGTCTGTACCTTGTCTGCATCGGCAACGAAAACCATATCAGATTTGGAGGTTTCTGTATTTGAAACAGTGAATTCAAGGGACAAGATTATCAAAACGGGTTTGCTTAAACTCATTCTTGGTTTTCTTGCTGACCCGAGACTTAAACTGGAGGTCGTAAAGAGACACGAAGCCGTTGGCCGTTTAGTAGCGATAGATGTTCTGGAGACATTAAAGCCGATGACGGTTGGCTATCGGCTGTCGTTATCTTGTGGGGATGCGGTGGAAGTGGAAGTGAATCGAATGATACGTTGGGACAAGCAGAAGTCGAAATTGTTTATGCAGAAGTTGGAGAAATGTAATGCAGGATACAAAGATGTAATGGAATATGGTTCTCATTTTGGTGAAGTAATAGCGGAAGGTGTGTTGTGGGAGAATGAGGAGTTCGTGGGAGAGCTTTCTGAACTCATCCGATTGGGTTTTCTGGTGGAGTTCGATGAGGAAGCAGTTGATTTCCTTATGAAGACCAAGAATTTGCAAGTCTTTGTGGAGGATCACAACTACCTCTCTACTCTCTCTTCTTAACNGTATTTCTGATAACTGCTCAGCCATACATTTTCAGTAACGGCTACCAGATAAGGTTTAACGAAAGACCATGCCAGCATTGTAATGTTGGTTATATTGTTCCTGAATGGSTYGAGGAGGACCAACTTCTGGCTGCCATTAAAAGCGTATATGGTTCGGCTACGGCTCTACCAACGACAACTCTCGTGCTGCCATTAAAGGCGGAGAAGGTGAAACCAGTGAAGGATCAGCTTTCAAGMGTACATCCTGAAGTGTTATTATTTCTTTCCAAGATAAAGCGCCTTTCAGTCAAGGAAGATAATGAGGATCCTAGCCTCAAAACTGTGAACGCAATATCTATCTCCAAAGAGATAAACTTTGTTACTTCGAAGAGCATGGATGCTGATTCCTACACTCTTTATCTTACTGCTGAAGATATTGGTGATGAAGTTGACGGAGAATGTGGCTACCATATGTGGAAACAAAGATTTCCTGTGAAGGAGGAGTATAAAGTTGATGYTAGAATGGAAGTAGAGGAGTGGGTWATCACACTGGCTTTTCCAATTGGGAGAAGACTCAAAAGAGGGTCAAGCTTACCGGGTATCTATTCATTTTTACCCACTGAGACGATCACAAACTTTCCCTTCATAATCCAAGCTGATTTTCTCTTGGCATCATCAAGGGAAAATATCCTCTGGGATAACAAAYGGAACAAGGGAATTCTCGATTGTGTTCCCATTGCCTTTTTAAATGCGTTCACGCAACTGGTGAAGTCCACCGAAGATGCTCCTGTTTCCAGTCTCCCCAATATGTTTTGGTTTTTACCCATCAGTGAATCATCTCATTCAAAACTGAACCTTGTCCGGGATGCAATTAAAACCAAAGTAATGAATGAGACCATCGTTCCTTGTGAGTCATACACTGGTCAAAAGTTGTTCCGTAAGCCCAATGAAGTTGGTAGGCTGAAGCTTTCTTTTTGGAGCATATTGAACAAAGCCCGGCAACAAGGCGTGAAAATCAGTGATATTTCATCCCATGGATCTTATATTCTTGCCTCTTCTTTTGACAAAGCGGAGTACGACGCTGTTCTAGACTTTCTTGAAATCCAATCTGTAGATAATGAATGGTATGCAAAATGCATATCTGGTTCCAACCTCGTTATGGGCGTGTCCGAGGATCTTTACATACAGCTTCTGGTATTCATTGCTGAGGGTTGGGGGTCGTTTCATAACACGGACATCAAAAATATACCAATCATAAAGTATGTTGGTATGGATGGGAAACGAGATTTCTTCAAAATCAATCAAGTTTCACAGGGAGCTGGAATGAAGTTGCTTGCTGTGGATTCTTCTCACATCGTCTCGTGGCTGATTGATTGGAATACTGAATTTCGTTGTTCAAAGGGCCAGTTTTTTTTGCCCAGAGACATGCAAGATGCCATCGGATGGTGTTTGACGAATCATACGTTAAAGAAGTGGCTAAGAGATGTGGTTAAAGTTAATTTCATCAGTGTTCGTGAATATGCTGAGGGTCTTAGTCCTCTCAATTATGACCGAAAGCTGGCTGTTACCTATGCCCATTTTCTTTATAGCTCGCTGGAAAAGCAGTATCTGATGAAGCATGAGGTTGGGAATCTGTGTGTTAACATGCCGATCGTTGATAACTACGGGGTAGTAAATGTAACAAGAAGTGGGGTTTTAGAACCTTCCAATGGAAGCAATTGGATTAAACTTTTCGGTAATAATCCTTGGAGACAAGATGGTTATGTTGAGCTTGGATTAGATTATACCCAACAGAAGAGTTATGTTGGTATTTCTACATCTGGCATTGAACTACTTTCATTTCTTAGAAAGTATGTAAAAGCCTCTGATCTCCCTTATTTACCTCCCCCTAATGTTCCCATTCCTACTTTGTCTTCCCACTTGGGTAAAGACAACACTTTTCTCCTTCTAAACTGGCTTCAGCATTTAAGGACAAAAGGGTCTAGTTTGCCGGAAAGGTTTATGTCATCCATTAAAAATGGATGCTGGTTGAAGATCTCTTTGAGCCGCAGTTCTGGCCACAGGCCTCCTTCAGAATCTTTCATGCTAGACTCGAAAATCGGTCGACTTCTACAGAATGGATCGGTGTTRGTTGATATCCCGTTGCTAGATGAGAGTTTTTACGGAGACGAGATAAAAAACTACAAAGAGGAGTTACGAATAATCGGTGTTCGGTTTCATGATAAAGATGCTTGTGAGTTCATTGGTAAGCGGCTCATGACGCTTACAGCTTCCTCAAAGCTTACTAGAGACAATGTCCTTTCAATGCTGAAGTTTATTCGGTATCTGGGAGAAAATTATCTCTCTCCAGAAAACCTCATCAATAGCATCAAAGGAGAAAAATGGCTTAGAACATCTAAAGGTGATATGTCTCCATCCAACTCTGTATTGTTGTCTCAAGAATGGACTGCTGCTTCACAAATAAGTGAGATTCCATTCATTGATCAAGATTACTATGGCGAAGAACTACTTTCTTTCAAGAAAGAACTAAAAATGCTGGGTGTTTTGGTGGAATTCAATCAGAGTTACCAGTTTGTTATAGACAACCTCAAGTCTTCATCTTCGTTGTCTTGTTTGTCATCTG